CCATCACATTGAAGCGAAAGAGCAACTAGATTGTTCTTCAATAGTTTAGCTTTGAACTCTTAATGTCTGTGGAAACAATTGATGATAAAAGTTCACTATGCGTTTTTGGAGTTAATCTTTCAATGCTTGGATAATCTTCAGATGCGCCTTTGTTAAAGTTGAAGCTGGCTGCCAATATTTTTGCAACTACTCTAGATGGAAAAGTGTATGCTGAAAGAGTCAGTTGTTTAACATCATTGTAAACAGTAAACATAAAAGACCCAATGAGGTTAGCCAGTTCTTCATTCTGATTAGATACATTAAAACTCCAATGTGGATTGTTCTTGAGCAACATTTGAAGGTGATATCTGTGAAAATCGCATGGCTTTGCAACATTCCTTGTGATATAGTGACTCAAGATGTTCTTCAAGGTGTTTTTGGGTCAAAGATAGTTCCCTTTTACGTTGTAATTGCTGGAATTTTTGTTTTGTGTGCCTGTTATTGGACAATATTTGGAAATGCTACAAAGACATTACAAAATCATCATGGCGCCCATTGGAATGAAAGTGTGTAATGTGCTGTGATTCTGTAAATTTTGACATCGGCTGTTGACTGATTAGATTTTAATTTGAAGGACTCTCACCACTCAATATAGGTTGCGAATGAGTACAATCTGTTGCTGGCTGGTGCCTCATTGCACTTTCATTTGTAGTACTCAAATCAGTTAGTGTAGGTTGAGGTGGAGTACATTGTAACAATGTAATTTGTAGACTGATTGAATTATCTTTTGGAGGACTGAAACTATGATTTAATAGATGCGGATTTCTTTAACCATTTTAACAAATACATTTCAGATGATTGAATGCAGTTACCTAAATAAAAATATAAACAATGTATAATATAATCTAAGATTATAAACACTGTATAATGTTTTATTATAAAAAATAAAATAATTATTTCTAGATATGACAAGTACAACGAACATACATTGTCATAAATAATCTCAGAGTAACAAATGGTATAGGAAAACAGATTCAAATTTAATTACATTTTATTAAGTTCAAAGTTGTATGTACAGAACAATTTTTGTGACCTTAGTGAATATCTAATATTAATATTAATAAAAATATGCTGTAAAAATACTCATTTAGGCTGTTGATTGCCAAACGTGAGATAAGCTCGTATACAGTTATATAGGCAAGATATTCCATTATTCTTATTTTCTTTCCCAAAACGCCCTACTTTTAAGTGGTTAGGATCGTCGAATTGACAGTCAATTTTATCTATTTTTGTATTATAATTTCCAATAGGAACTAAACAAAGGGCCTTAAAGACACATCCCCAAACATAAAAAAGAAAAAAAATACACCTTAACTAGAATTAGAACACGATAAAGAAAGATCCAACCTGGCATAATGAACACTGACATTGGCGGAAGGCCTCATCGACACCGAATATGGCAGATGTAATCTGGCTGATATATTTCAACATATTCTATTTTGCTTTCTCTCATAGGGTCTTAGAATTAGGTTAAAACAGTTCCTGAGACCACTCTGGAGGAGATAAATTCTGATTTTCTGCAGACACGCCATTGATAAATTAGTAGTTAAAAACTTGTTATTGAAATTTAAGTTAACCTATACAATTTGAAAACAACAAGCCTTCTTTAAGAGGTTAAATACAAGAAGTAGAAGTAAACTGAGTTGTTAAATTGCTACGCCTAACTTTTTTACCAAATCTCTACTACGTTCTCTCTCTTCGCTGTTCCAACTCTCGCTTTACCATTTTCGTTTTTATAGGATAGCTGAATAGGAAAGGAAAAAAAAACTTGGCAGGTATTTTGGTTTGAGAATCTAACAAGCCCCGAAGGGGTTTGAGAGACAACCAAGGGCGCCCAGAAACAGTAGTTCCTCTTCACCCTGCTTGAATAGTGCGTGTTTTTGGCCTTCTCATATAAAGTTTACCAGGAATATGCTGCCTTATGCAGAATCTATAGAAAAATGTAGATGTGTATCTGAATAAAGATAAATTATACACTATTAATAAAACGATCGAATGTGATTACATTAATATCATCACATCTCCATTATTTTTAATATATGTTATTGTTTGGAAATTGATAAAATCAAAATATGCTATTTTATGTTGGATTTCCAGATAAAGATGCTTATTTGTATCACATTTAGTATAAACTAAATTATCATATATTTTATTTTTAATAACGAATGTCCAGAGAAATAAAAAAATAAAAACTTACTATGATATAGCAATTTACTTAAAACTATAAAGTGTAATTAATGCTAATATTTGAATTTTTTTATAATGTTAAGTATTTTTTTAAATAATTTATCCACTTGAACTTACTTATGTAGGCGAATTTTCAACTGCACCAATATATTTACATTTGCACAATTTGTGATTAACTGCACACAAGAAAAAACCTGGATTATTGTGTCATGTTACTAGAACCTTTTGAGTTTTTGTCTTTGTTTCAATTGAGTATTGTTGCATCGTAGTATCTAGTTGAGTGTGGATCGTTCTAGACCTCTGTCGGAGTATAATACTCGTCAAAAATATAGTGCGATAGATATAGTTAGATCTAGACTGCGTGATCGTGAGTTTAGCCATAAAGAGCATTTAGTGGCAATTTTAAAGTGAAATTATCACAGATTGTATTGGAATAACAGAGTAGATAAAAATAATTTGTCTTGTCAATTGTGTTCTAAAGTAATTGAACCAGCCTGTGTGGACTTTAACGAAAAAACTCTCTTTGATTCACAGTCCGGGCACACTAACCATTAAGCCATGCCCAGTCAAATTGATTACTTTACATGTAATAATGGTAATTGTAATATTAGGAAGAGCAGCAGTAAGTATTGTGCAGAATTAAAACTGATATCTGACTTGAGTTCAAGAAGAAATTGAACACAATGTAAAGAAACTAAAAAGTGGATATTCATTTAGGTACTTTAATATGTCAGATATGACGACACTGGCCAGATCTATGAACTGGAGAAAAGTCTGTATCAGAAGAAGATCATTTAACAAATTCTGAACAAGACTGAAAGAACTAACCACTACAAAGATATCACAATAGATATAACTAAAACACTTTTCAAATGATCTCTTCCATGAGAGAGTTCGCCAAAGAGTAAACGTGAAAAATAATTTATATTTTTGATGATCATGAAATGTTAACCTGTTTAAACTAAACGGAAAGGAAACACTTCGGATGTTTCACATACCACATTTCCTATAGTTCATGAAAACATGGAGCACTTTAATCTTTACGATTCATTTAAAAGAGGCAAGACTGTACGATACTAGCTATATAAGCACAGGTTGAATGACTAGTTATTTTTGTTTCAGACTTCATGTCTCGTTTATACATCAATGGACTCTGAAGAACGATTGAAATGATTTAATAACAGTGGTTTACCTTGACATGGGTATAACATTACAGTTTCCAATTATTATTTTTTGATTATTTGGAGTAGTGTTCTTATTATAGTAAAACTGTTTTGTGCAATATCGTATACTAAAACTTCATGACTGGAACTTTTATTCGTTATCTCTAGCAGCCACAATATGGAATTGTTGTTTTGATAAAAAAAGCAAAAGCAAAAGGAAAACAAAACCAAAAAAAACTTAAGCTTGCTGTAGCGCTACTCTAATGTTTACAGGCGACAGGAAGGAAGTTACATAGCCTTGTTGAGAAAACGCATACAACATAATAACGTGCTTTTATTATTTTTGCAAAGTAAATATTCAAGTGGAATCCAGGGGCAGTGAAGGATAATGTTATTTTTCTTCATCTCCTGACACACAAGACTTGATTTGATTAAACAAAATTATTTCAGTGGAATAATAAGAAAACCCGCTGAAAAGTCAGTCAACGTGGAAAAAAGGTGGCATACTCGAAAACGGAAAGGTTTGAGCAAATAAAAGAATGAAACTCAATTATGCATGTCCAGGTGGTTAGGGAGCTCGACTCGCAATCTGAGCAATTTCACGCAAAGCTACACGAGGGCTGTCTGCGTTAGCCGTCCCTAATTTAGCAGTGTAAGACTAGAGGGAAGGTAGCTAGTCATCACCACACACCGCCAACTCTTGGGCTACTCTTTTACCAACGAATAGTGGGATTAAACGTCACATTATACCACCCCCACGGCTGACAGAGGAAGTGAATTATACACGGAATACTAGTGAGGTAGCAATAGAAGAAATATAGTCCAGTTTGTCAACTGAAATTCTAAAGCAATTCAATAGGACTAAGTGGACTTTGACAAGAAGACAACTATATTGAGTGTTTATGATACGCCTATAATCTCTATAGTATGAAAAATTTGTTGTACATGCACGTTTCACTTGTTCCAAATATATATATATTATTTTGAAAATAAGTGGAGTGCGTCCTGTTCATTTATCGTTGAATTTATCATCAACAAATCACCGACGCCTACTGTAGAATAATCCCAAGTCCAACAACACACGCCCATATACTTACTTTAATATATACTAGATAAAAGTAAGTAGCCTGACATATGCAACGACAATAAACTGCTCAAATCGGATGTGGAAATAAGTAGGTAGAATAGCAACAACTGGTGAAACAAAATGGTCGAAAAAGAACAAACGGGGACATTTGGGATTTAGGACTTGGGTAATGGTGATTTGATGACAAAAATGAACTCGATATTTTTGTGAAATGCTGGAAAAAGTGATGACGATAAACTGGCATGTATCCCGTAGTGGAGAGCTTTGAGTAAAACTTGAGAAAAATTATCGGTTTCAGTAGCATATTGTTGTCTGATTGGTTACTTTATTATTCACGGACAGGTGAATTGGCTCCCTGCCAGAAGTACAACGTAATGACAATCACAAACTGGCAAGCAAGCATGAGGTAATATTTCGAGTGGATTAAGCTCGTTTCTGTATTTAGTAAAAACAGAATAGTTCTTTACAACAAAACCCAGCTTCATAAAAATTTGCATAATCTGTTATTGATTACGTTTCAAACTGACGGTGATCTGAGAGAGGATCCAAAAATATTTGTCTTGAGTATTACTATTGGGAGTGACAAGTTAAGGTAGTGGCAGCAAGGCTGTTCTTGTTTCATAGTTGAGTACGTAAGTAGGAATTTTTTTACTATTACTTGCATTTTTATAGCTAATAATCTTCGATTTAAACAGTTAAAAAGGTTAAACATCATGAGCCCAAATGCTCTATACGATACTGGTTGTATTAGAAAATAACGTGTTAAAATGTAATCATAATTTTGAATAATTACTGTAAATTACCTCACACTTGCAAAGTAGATTTGCTACACCCTCTTTAAAACCAGTTGGATAAAGAAAACAACAACAAAAAAATGTAGCAACAATGTAATATGATATCTTGTTCTTTAATACAACAATATTATCATATATATTACTTAAAAATGCATAACGTGGCAAACTAATTATGGAGAAAAAGCTTGAATATCACTCATTTTTTATTTCGTGAGTAAGCTGCAGCCTTCTTCAGGTCTAACTGGATAAAAATAGTTAATTTTTTATCATTTTTTTCATACAAGGCAAGTACTGATTGAGAACCTTGCTACTTATACACACGCACAGACATACACACTTATTTATTGTAATACATCTCTTAAATTTCACAAACAAGGCTTTGAAAGAGCCAATTTAGGTTAAAACCAAATATATATAAACAAATGTTAATGAAAACATTAAATGAATATACTGTCACTTAATACATTACTGGTTTTTGTGATTGGCACAGACGGTGTTTTTAACCTATGAGCATCAGTGATTGTTTCAGGTGGTTTACGTTTTTTTTATTTTTGGGGGTAGCCTAATCAAGATGTGACTTTTGATACAGATAATCGCAATGTGAATTTTGGTGCAGATGAAATACGATATATTGGTAAATATGAGTCACAATGTAATTTATGGTACAGACAGTCATGGTATGAGTTGTTGGTACAAGTGAGTTATGATATGACTTATTGGGACGAATGGGACACGATATAAATTTTGGTGCAGATGATTCACGATATTATTTATTGCTTCTGATGAGTCACAACATGACTTATTGTTAGAGACTGAATATGATGTGATTTTTGGTATAGCCGAGTTATGATATGATTTTTTTAGTTACAGACTGAATACGATGTGATTTTTCGTATAGATGAGTCATGATATAATTTATTGCTACATACTGAATACGATGCAATTTTTGGTATAGATGCGCCACGATTTGATTTATTGGTACAGTTGCAGCATAATATGATTTATTGGTACAGATAGGTATCACGGGACATCATGGAAGTTTTTGGTTTAATTACCTGATTACATGATTTAAGATAAGATTTATTGATGCGTTATGACCACGACGAGATTAATTCGTATAGGTGTTGATTTTACGAATATTTGACTAATCAGATGGCCATGAGTGACATAAAGTTTTGTCTGATTAGTGTAAATAATTATCGAGTTTGTTTACTGGTTCAAACGGCTATCCAGTCAGTTCGTTTACTGGTCTAAACGGTTATCTAATCAGTTCGTTTACTGGTTCAAATGGTTATCCAGTCAATTCATTTACTGGTTCAAATGGTTATCCAGTCAGTTCATTTACTGGTCCAAATGGTTATCCAGTGAATTCATTTACTGGTCCAAATGGTTATCCAGTCAGTTCATTTACTGGTCCAAATGGTTATCCAGTCAGTTCGTTTAAGTGATTTCTTTTCCGTTAATTTCAGAGGAGAGGACTAGGAGAATTACGTTGATTACTTCAACAAAATAATTTATTGCGTTAGTTCGTTGAAGTAGTTAATTCCTCAGACTTTAGCTAATTGAAGAACATTTATTTATATGTAAAAAGTACGTCCAATAGCCCCCAACTAGTACCTTAGTCTAGTTTACTTTAATCTGTATCATGCACGCCAGGTGAAGTTCTCATGCTATTTTTATGTATCCTTTCTACATTCTAACCACGTCTCTCAAACTTCCACCCTTGTTTAAAGCAGATCTGGATGTGTCACAAAATTGTTGTTACAGCGACCTCTTGAGGCGTGTTATACAGGTCTTTCGAAGACATTAATATCACATTTTGTATACTCACAGCTGGTACAACTGTTTCATTTATTCGTTTATTCGCATGGCCGTTCCTAATTTTGAATTGATAGACTAGATTCCAGAGGGAAGGCAATTATTCACAAACGCCCACATCTAGCTCTTGAGCTACTCTTGTCTGAGCGAATAGCAGGCTTTGATCATCACTCCTTATAGCATATCCACGATTCCAACGTGCGGAAAATGTTTTGTGACAACCAGCCGATAATCATGAATCCAAAATATTTGTCGGTTGTATATATATATATATAATATTGTTTGCCAGAGAATCCTTTTCTTTAAAGTAATTTCTATAACATGTTTAATAGGTGAACTTTAACCATTGTTTGAAGTAATGTCAATTTTGTCCATTCTCACCCCACTGTTAACACTATCATACATATGGGAGAACGTTTTGGGAGCGAGACTTCACTGACCGATTTAGCCCCCCAGTGGCACAGCGGTATGTCTGCGGACTTACAACGCTAGAAACCGGGTTTCGATACCCGTGGTGGGCAGAGCACAGATAGCCCTTGTGTAGCTTTGTGCATAATTACAAACAAACAAACAAACTGACCGATTTAGCCTCAATGCAAGTTTATGTGAAGCTATAGTCGTAATGATTCTCTCTGTGTGCCAGGTACGATTTCCATCACCCATTGGTAAAGATGGTTTTTAGTTTGCTTCTAATGTTTATTTTATAGAACGTTATTACTAAATTCTCAATTTTAAACTAATTAGTGAGTGATAAATGAAATAGTTAAATTCATCGTATAGTTACATGTATGAGAATACCAGTATAGCGTGTACTTCTCTCATTTTATTTATGGCGTTCCATTTGCTAAGTAGTTAGCATTCGAGTAGTGGATATTTAGACTCAGTATACAATTATTAGGATAGTCTAGTTCAGTGGCGGGGTGGCTAGAAGATCGCAGGTGTGGCTAGCATCTAAAATGGCGCTCCATCCTCCACCCACCCTGCAAAGTAAACAGAAACATTTTATAGTACAATTGGTGTAAGTTAAAAAAAAAGTACTTGTAACAAAGAATTGCAAGTTTATAATCTGAAATTTTACACGTTTTTACAATTATCAGAATTTTACAACAATGATTTTACTTTTATCATACCAGGTAAGAAATAAAATTATTTCACACGTATAGTGATGAAAGAGAGAAATCAAGAAGAAAATCAGCACTGTTACTTTGCGAGAAAAGCGATTTTTCTGCCTTAAGATTGCAAATGCTCTTTAGTTACAACTTCGGGTAACATGTACACGAATATCTCGTAAATACCGTCACAATCTAGTGTAGTTATAGATGTTTATTTTTCTTTTTTTCTGGCGTTCACTGACCTTATTCAGGCACCCCAGGACTAGCTTGGCGCCTTTAGGCCTGACTCGTGAAGAGGTGCCTGTAACTCTCCTCTGCAACCACGCCACTACTCTCGTTAAAAGAATTGCCAACCATGTGTAAAGTGATTATAAAGAAAACCTCATCATTAAAATAATTATATCTTAAAAACGACTTGACCCTGTGAAGAAAATTGTAACAGCAGCACATCATAAGTTTTATTAAGGACAGTTTGGACAAGACATAGAGTGTTTCAAAACCATATACACCGAAATGGCTTTTCTCGCAAACGATAACTTTGCTGTATTTGTCCATTTCTCTCTCTCTTTCAACAATGGGAGATAAGCAATTTCAATAAAATGCGTGTCATGTAGTGTGCAACTTCGTATGACTATGATAGCAAAGTAATGGTAATTTTACTTTGGTCAAAAGGTAATTACAAAGAAAAATGAACGCCCAGTTGTTTACGACTGCCATAAGGATGTTACGAATTTAATTCGACTCAAGTAAAATCAGATGCTTCTCATTGTGGATGGCTATCTGTATCTGTGGAAACAGTAGAGGAGGCAACTCAGATCATCCAAGATCAAGTTGAGAAGGAAGAAGGTGTTTATAGAGAAATTTATCTGTCACAAAGAACATAAACAAAACACTAATGCCCAAAGCTTTTAATACTCACACAAAAAGTAACCTTGTAATAAAATCGATATAAAACAATAACGTCATTTTAATTCATGTAATTTTTGTTGGTCTTCTTTTTTATTATTTTGTGTTTCAAACTAAATGATGGTGATTCATTTTGTGACTTAATTTTATACATTGGGTTTTAGCCAAGTCGATGATTGATAAAACGTGACTTGAATATTCTTTGGACAGACGAAGCTCACATTCATCTTAGTGAATATACAAAGCCAAGAAATTCTGTCATATCCGTCCATGAAAACCCACACACACAGTTCACCAGAAGACTATTCGTGATCCTAAATTTGCTGTAGTGTGCTGCTTCACCAGCATTTTTATCATTAATCCTCATTTCTTTGGCGTTGTTGATGAAATTGTTCATGCTCCAACTATTTCGGTGAATAAAGTCTGTTATGGAAAAATATGAGGAGTTGAGAACGTCACCTTCCGACAAGATGTAGCAGCTCTTCAACATCTATTGTCATGTTCTTCTAACAGACTCTTTCACTGACGACAGAATCGTAAGCCGTTCAAACAGAGAGAGCTGGCTAGCGAGATCCTTGGACATGGCATCACCAAATTTTTAGTTGTGGGGTTTCTTCAAAGGGAATGAATGCTATTCACAATAGCTCACGAAATATGAAGGATCAGAAAAAGCTTATTAGAAATAAGATTGTGAAGATCATCAACAAATACTGTCTAGAACAAATGATGCTTGTAGTGACTGATTGAGAATAACGGAAAACATACTATTTCAAACATTCTATATCATATTCAAACTTCCTTAATTAAAACTTGTGATTCTCAATGTGCTTCTGGGGAGATTTAATTCTCTTAGAAAAAAGTAGTTTTTCGGATATAATAGTTTAAAATAATTTACAATCACCATGTATTTAAATTAAAATGTGAGTTTATGAACTAAAATCTACTGGAGAGAGACCGAACTCGGCTCACTCTGAAGATTAGCATTAAATCGTTTAGAGTAAC